CAGCTCCTGCACCAGCACCTGCAGCACCAAGTGGGCTGCGGGACCAATGGGTCCTGTCACACCAGGGTATTCTCTTTTGATGGGGATCCCCTGATTGGGTCACACTGATTGTACCAGGGATCCCCAATTCCAGCACGGTTTTCCCCATGCTGGGATCCTCTGGGATGTCTTTAGAGCAGGGAACGGGTGCTGGTTACACAGGAGGTGACCCATGGAGTGCAGCCCACCCAGAGTCCTTGGGATACCGGCGCATGCCAGGTTGGTGACATCCAAACCTCCCTCACCATTTAAGACTCTCACAGGGGAGCTGAGCCCACTGTTGGGTCTGTCACACTTGTAGGAGCCACTCTCACTGACAGTGAAGTAGCCCCATCCCTGTCGCCCCCAGCACTACCCATCCTTGTACCAGGTGGTGGCACCAGTGGTCCCTGAGCCCTGGCAGGTCAGTGTCACCAGGTTCCACAGACCCACCGGCCTCCAGAGGGGCTCCATGAGAAGCTGGGTGGTCTGGGCACCTGCAGGTGACAGGGGGCACCAACCTGCCAGGGCCAATGTGGGGCTGGGGACAGGGGGGTTGGACCATGGCATCCCCTGAAGACTCACCAGTGAGGCCGAGGGTCTGGGTTCAAAGGGAGAAGGGACAGGGCTGGGTGAGGGTCATAGGGACACTGTGGATACCCTATGTTTGCACTGGTCACCTCCACCAGCCCTACAGAACCTGTCCCCACGGCCACATCCCCATGGCCCTGTACCCATGATCCCATTCCAATGGCACCTGTCCTCCTGGCCCCTCCCCATGCTACGTGGTCCTTGTCCCTGTCCCTGCATCCCTGTTCCCCTGTCCCTGTCCCCACAGCTACCCAAGCCCCAAGGCTCCTTCTGCCACATCCTTGTCCCCACATCTCTACCCCCCTGTTCCTGTTTCCACATCCCAGTTCCCCTGTTTCTGTCCCTACAGCCACCCCAAATCTCTGGTCACACTTGGCTTCATGCCCTGCTGTGGCTCTGCTGCCATTGGGGACCTCAGGGGACCTCACAGCCCCCTGTGCCCCCTCCCCACCAGTCTCTGCCTCACCACGGCCCATCCCACCGGTGTCAGGCCCGTTCCCCGGGCCCTCACCCCACAGGAGCAGCGCCACCTTCCCGGCCATCCCGGTGTCCCCAGCCATGTGCACTGTCTGTCACTCGCTGCTGTGGCCACCGCTCCCCTGGCTGGCGGCTCTTCGGATGAAGGGGAAGGAAGCGAGGTCATGTCTGTCCCCATGCATAGGTGGCCCTTTGTGGGGGCAGGGTGGCGACAGGATGGAGGCAGGCTTTGGGGACTTTGTGGGACATGGGGGTGATGGTGGGACATGGTGGGGACATGGTGTTGCCAGAATTTGGAGGCTGAGGTGGTATAGAGAGCCAGGGATGGGTGTCCTGGGGAATGGGATGCCCAGGGACGGGGTCCCAGGGGAATGGGGGTCCCAAGGGTTGGGTGGAGTCAGACTTAGGGATGAGGGTCCCAAAATAACACGGCCTCCAGGGATTTGTGATCATGAGATGGGGGCCATGGCATGGGGGTGCTAGTGGAAAGGGGGTCCCTGTGAGAATGGGGGCCCTGGGGAAATCAATGTCCCTAAGGGAAGAGGTGTCCCAGGAAGTGGAATTACTGGGATGGGGTTCCTTGGGGTTGGAGATCATGGAAATTGCACTCTAGGGATGGGGGTCCCAGGGAACGGGCGACTGAATGAAATTGGGTCCCAAGGTTGGGGTGCCAGGGGGATAGGGTGCCAGGGTTGGGCAGTTGCTGGGGGGGCACGGGGGTCACAGCTCCTGCCCTAGGTGCCTCAGATTTTGGGTTGAGGCAGGGCTCCACAAAATCACCCCTGTAGTGTTCGTTTCCTGGATAGGCATTGCATGGGGGTCCTGGGTACGTCTGCTTCTGTGTCATCCCCTGCCCTGGACTTTTTCCTCTCTTTATTTCTCTTTTTTCCTTATTCTCCTTACTTTTTGCCACATTCCCTCATGCCCAGTTACTGGTTCAGCAATCCTGGGGTGCACCTGAGCAGGGAAGGGGTTGGGGCACCCAGGGGAGGAGTGGAAATGGGGAACAGGAGGTGCAGGGAAGGGTGAGGATGATTTGAGGTAGGAAGGTGTTGGGCTGTGCTCCCTCAACACTTTGAATTACTTTATCCTGGACGAGAGGGAAGAGGCCATTTGTGCTGAGAATCAGATGGGAAAGGGAGTGTTCAGTCTCTGTTCCTGGAGGGACACATCCAGGGGGGTCCTGTCCTCTAAGGTCTCTGTTCCGGAGTTCACCTGGGGGAAACCAGTCCAGGGGGTGACACATCCCGGCATGGGGGGGTCCGGTCCCAGGGGTGGTACATCCTGGGGACCCCTGTCAATGCAAGGGTGGGGCCCAGCCATGGCCCAGCCCCGCTGCACAGGGATGGCCATTGCCCAGCCCTGCTCTGCCCAGCCCCAGGTAGCAGCCAGCACCTGAGGGTCCCCCCTGCCCCCTTGGCTTTGATTCTGGCAGCTTTAGAGCTGCTGCAGAGGTGAGAATTCTGTGGGGGAAAAAGGCCTGCCTGTGGTTTGCTCAGTCCTGCAAGAAGCACAGACCACAAAGAGAGCCCAAGCAGTGGCTTTGCAAGGGCCTTTGATGGTTTTCAGAGCAGGGCTGGCTGGAAACCCTCACTGCAGGGGCAGCTGCAAGGGTGTCAGTCCAGAAATGCAGCAATTGATCACTTTGTCCCTCTCAGCAAGGGACTGAGAGAGCCCCAGCACTACTGCAAATCCCACACCAATCTGCTCAACAACCTGACCTGGACCCTCCTTCTTGAACAAATCCTGCTGCCCTTTGGAACCTCACAGAGAGAATGTTTGTTATCTGGATGCACACAGCAGAAGAGAGGGAAAGGTGTAAAAATATTGATCAGGGTCTGCACACAAGGGGGTGGGGAACAGGGGTGTCACAGCAGGAGCAGGGAGTGCCCAGGCAGGGGACTTCAGGGCAGGCTGGAGTGGATTTATCAGGAAATCAGACCCTGAGGCACACAGGGGCATTTCCACAGATTCCTGTGCACTGTCCCAAGGATGGACAGAGCTTTTTCTCTTCCTCCAAGAGAAGTCAATCAAGTTTCAGGGTGGGAACGGGGAGCAAAATTTGGAGAGTTCCTAAAAATGGGCAAGAAAAGGCTTCCTTCAGGGCTGGGTTGCTGCCCAGCAGGTAGGGAACAATCCCATGGAGCTGTTGGACACTCAGGGAGATTCCACACTCTGTGTTTTCCACAAGGAAATGCTGCTGAGGGATGCAACAAGGGGCTGCTAAAGGGAAGCAAAAAGTCTCATTTCTTTGTGATTTGTTTGTGCTTTTATTGTGAGGAACTTGTTGGGAAAGCAATGGATTCTCTAAACCAGAGCGTTTTATACCTTGCCAGTTTGCATTTTATTGAGAAAATAATTGGTGTGGGAAAGAGTTTTGCTTTTATTTTTTGGATGTGTAATTTTGACTGAAGCATTTGGGCATCAAGTGTTGCCTGAGATGGCTGAGCCAGGAAAGTGTGGGGCAGGGACACAGAGACTCTCAGGGCAACCTTGGGGTGGCTCAGGGTGGGGGCTTTTCCAGGCTCTGGGTGATCCCAAAATCTGAGGCACCCCATGAAAGAGTTGTGACCCCTGTGCCCACCCAGACACTGTCCATCCTTGAAACACCCATTGCCCTGGGACCACCATTGCCTTGGTCTCTCCTCCCTGGGGACCCCCATGCCAGGTCTGCCATTGCCTAGCACCACCACTGCCTTGATCCCATCCCATGGGCTGCTTCTTCCCTCAGAACCCCTATTCCCGAAGGTCCCCTTTTTCCCCCTGCACCCCCAATCCTGGTACCACATGCCATGACCCCAAATCCCTGGGGACCGTGTTCCCACAGCACCCCCATCCTTGAAAGCCCCCAGGCATGGAGACCTCAAATCCCCTGGACCCCCATTCTGTTGGACACCCATCCTTGGTTCCCCACATCCCCTGAGCCCCCCCAGTCCTGGGAAGAGCATCCCTCGCCATGTTCCCAGACTATGCACCCTTGTCCCCAGCCTGTGCCCAGCTTGTGGCCACCCTGCCCCCACCAAGGGCTACCTACACGTGGGGACGGACTTGACCTCACTTCCTTCCCCTTCATCCGAAAAGCCGCCAGCCAGGGGAGCGGTGGCCACAGCAGCGATAGGGGATAGGGAGGTGAGGGGGCAGACGGGGGCTGTGAGGTCCCTTGAGGTCCCCAATGCCAGCAGTGCCAGTCCATGTTACCCACAGTGGATCTGGATGTGACTGGGGATGTAGGGTGGCTTTGGGGACAGGCAGAGGGGACAGGAATTTGGGGATGGGGATGTGGGGACAGGAATGTGGGAAGTGGCACCTTTGGGCTCGGGTAGCTCTGGGCATAGGGAGAAGGGAACTGGGATGCAGGGACAGAAGGGGACAAGAACAGTGGGGATGTGACCATGGGAGTGGGATCATTGGGATGGGATCATGGGGATGGGATCATGAGCTGATGAGGGTGACCTGTGCCAGCACGGGCTGTGTCTGTTGTGTCCTTTTGCCCGGGGTGTCCACAGTGCCCCCATGTTCTGCCTTAACCCACAGTGGCCTCACTGTCCCTATTCTCAAGGCATCTCTGCTACAGGGATGTGGTGCATGGGTGTCTGTGATGCAGACATGTCCCCTGGAGTCTCAAAATCTTTTGGGAAGCACCCAGACACACTTTCCCACAAGAACTGCTGTCTCCACGGGGACAACAGTTTGGGGAGAGCCCCCACACTCCAAGCCCCCATGCTGCTGTCCCTGCATTGCCACCCTCACTGAGCCTTGTCCCTTTTCCCTTCCAGCCCAGACCTTCGGCCTCACTGGTGAGACCTCGGGGGATGCCATGTCCCCACCCTGCTGTCCCCAGCCCTATTGTGGCCCTGGCGGGCTGGTGTCCCCTGTCACCCACAGGTGCCCAGACCACCCAGCTCTTCGTGGAGGCCCTGGAAGCCCCCGGTGTTGTGGGACCGGGTGACACTGTCCTGCCAAGGTTCAGAGACTGCCGGCGTCACCTCCTGGTACAAGGATGAGCAACGCTTGTGGCAACAGGGAAGCGATCACTTCAAGGTCAACACAAAAGGCACCTACTGGTGTTGCAGACCCGGAACCGGGCACAGCCTGCCTGTCATCGTCTCTGAGGGTGAGGGGGATTTGAGTGTTCCCAGCCTGGCACCCACCAGACCTTTAGGTTTCTGGGTGGATCCTGTTCCATGGGGGTCACCCCCTGGTGTGACCAGAGCCTGTCCCCTGTTCTGGGGACATGCCAGAGCATACCAGTCTAGGGGTAACCGTGTTGAAATCAGGGACTCCGGTGCACTAGATGTGAACGAGTGTGGGGGTCCTGGTGCCATCGGGTGAGAAAGGACCCTTCTGTGCCTCAGGCTGGCTGGTGCTGCAGGTGCCGGTGCGGGCGCTGCTGGAGGGAGACAATGTGACACTGCGCTGCCGGGGCTGGCGGAACAACACGGTCACCTCAGTGTCCTTCTACCACGAGGAGAAAGAACTGGAGGGGCTCCACAATGGGACCCAGCTTTCCCTGTCCCCTCTGCAGCTGCACCACAGCGGCTGCAACAGCTGGAATGGCTGGGTGGACTAATGGGGGTGGAAGGAGTCAGCGCTGGTGACAGTGAGAGTGCTTGGTGAGCAGCCAACAGCTGCCACCCTGACACCTCCACAGCCCATTCCTAGAGACTCGGGGTCACAAGACTCCCTCCTCTCTCCTTCCCAGAGCTCTACTTGGTGCCAGTGCTGGAGGGTCCCCCCGAGCCCACCCAGGGGTCCCTCCTGACTCTCAGCTGCCTCAGCACCCCCAGCCCCCTGCAGCCCTGACCCCTCCACCTGCATGTGTTCTACCGGGATGTGCAGGGGGTGGGGGGCCCACAGGGGTCCCTGCAGCTGCTGGTGCCCGCTGTGGGGGTGTCCCACTTTGGGAATTGCAGCTGCAGGGTGAGCTCCTACAGGGGGGCCGTGTGGAAGAGCAGCGCCCGGCTCCGTGTCACAGTGTGCTGTGAGTGTGGGGATGGGCATGGGGAGCCTCCTGGCGTCCCCTGCCTGGGTACCTCCATGTCCCCCAGACACATTCCTTGGGTCCTTCCATCACTCTACATGTCCCCTCACCCCTCTGTGGCGTGACACCATCCCCAACATCTTCCATCACTCCCATCCCTGCCCATCCCCATGCCCCCACTCGGGCTGCCAGCCCCTCCTTGTGGCCTCAGCCCTGTCTCTGTCCCCACAGTGCCCGTTGACAATGCCACCATCATCCCGGTGTCCTGGAGGTCACACCACAGTATAAAGGGACACACAGGGAAACAGGTGGGGTCCCTCAGGTTCGCAAGGGAGTGCAGCACCCCTGGGGTGATGGGTTACCCAGATGCGTCCCCCTCTGTTTCTTGTAGTGGCCGCAGGGGTCACTGGAGCCATTTTGTTCCTGCTCCTGCTCGTGGGTGTCATTGTGGCCTGGCACCAGTGGCAACATGTGGATGGGTGACAGTGGGGGGACAGGGGTCCCAGGGAGCGTTAGAGGTTCCAAGAGTGTGGGAGAAATAGGGCAGCACCCACAGCCCCAGAACTGTGACCTTGTCTGGGGGTCCTGTTGGGTTTGGGAGGTGCTGGAGAGTCCTTCAGGGATGTTTGGGGTTCTTTCAGGGGCCCTGGGGATGTCTGGGGAGGGTCTCTGTGCTGCTGGGCTTTGAGTTCTTGAGGCTGAGTTGGTCAGGGGCACTGGGGAGATTCATGGATTCTGGGGGACTTTGGGGATACTTAGGGGTCATGAGGGGAATTGAGGGTCGAGTGGGGTTCAGGAATCTTGAGAGGGTTCAGGGCCATGGAACCCCGCAGTCACCCTGCCCTCTTTCCTTTGCAGCTGCCAGAAAGCAGCAGGAAATGTGAATGAGGGGCTCAAACAACACTCTCCCCTTTTACCCCAACCCCCAAGACCTCCCATTCCCTCCCCCACATCCCCTTTATTCCTGCAGGGCCCCCCCAGATCCCCTGGTCCCCCCAGAGGAGGGGGAGGTGCTGTACACACACGTCATGGTCACCAAGAGGGCAGGGGGTGAGTACAGGGGGGACACACACAGAGGGACACGTCACCCACGAGTGTCACACAACCCAGATACCACAGCCTGTGTCTCTCACAGCGTCCCTCCGTGCCACCACCCTCCAGGATCCCCAGGTGACCTACGTGCAGCTGCAGGGACACCAGGGGTGACCACGGGAACCCGGTGACATCTTACGGGAATGTGCTGGGACACTGGGGGGAACTGGAGGGCACTGGGGGTCCCCACCCATGGGCACCCACTCCTGTGTGTGCTGCCACTGAAAACTGCCTCTCTCCCTCCCTGTGGAGGCACAAAGATGCCAAAGGGCTGAGAGAAGAACAATTTCCTTAAAAAGCAACAAGAGAGAGAATAAAACCAACAGAAACAGGAACAAGGTTCAGCCTCCAAATGGTCACACAAAGAACGATTTCCAGGTAAAGCCACTCAAAAAGGAACAAATCCTGAACACTTCCCCAAGCACGTTTCCTCCACCAAGGAACCTGGCAGGGCCCTGGACCTTCTTGACTGTGATGGCCAAAGCTGCAATCTAGAGGCTCTTGATTCTTATGTCCCCTGTCCCAAACCTTTCCTTGGCCCAGTTCCCCACACGAGGATCTCACAAAGGCCCTTTGGGGGTTCCAGAGCCTCCCACTTTGCCAGGGCAGTCGGGATCAGCCATGGCACAGGGCGGGATGTCAGAGACAGGAAAAGTTTGATGTCTGGAGACATTGTGGAACACCTGTGTGTGGCAGGGGTGGGTCATGCTCTGCTTCTGCTCAGAAGGTCCCATCTGTCCATCTGTCTTTCAGCCTTGGTACACTGGGGACAGTGTGACGCTCTGCCAAAGCCAGCTCCTGAGTGGCCAGGTGACCAGAAGTGCGAGCTGGAGAAAGGGCCCTGGGTGGCCTAACTGGCTTAAAAGCAAGAGTATGAGGTGGCCAAGTCTCTGACCATGTCTGCTCTTGGAGTGTCTTTCCCATCCATGCTGCAACCCAGGTGTTGGCAACTCATTTAAATGAGAAATATCTGCCAAGTAAAGAGGGAATTGTCCTGCAATGGAAAGGAGATCCATGTCTAAAATTTTTTAAATTTGAAAAATGATTTGGCTTTCAGGTAAAAGTGCAGGAAAAGGAATAACAGCTCTTTACTAGAAATTTGTAAACCAGAACAGAACATACAACACAAACCAAGAACATTTCCTCCCGCTCAGCGCTGTTGGTTTTTGTGGCAGTTATAACTGTGGCCAGCAGGGGGCGCTGCAGGGACAACTCCCGGCCAGAAAGGGGGCACTGCAGGGAGGACTCCCGGCCAGCAGGGGGCGCCCGGGTTCAGCTCCATCCCCTCAGGGGCCATGGTGGCCTCGGACAGGAGGGAGGAATGGAAATCGCTCCTTTTGCAAACTCACGGGCACCAATCGGTTCCGGTACCACCACCGGCAGCGGGCAGAAGCCGCCAAGGCAGCAGGTTGGATTCCAGTGCCCACTGGCAGCGCAGCAGTGTCCCGGGGCCACGCACACACCCTGTGCAACACCTGTGTTTGCTCTCCATGAATGCGAATGGAAGGAAGGCAGCGCCTGATCCCAGGCAGGTCTCGAGTCCACAGTAGCACCTCTGGTGGCTTTACACCCCAATTCCTGCAAAGCCTCAGCCTTTCACTCCTTTTTCCTTTTTCAGCCCTGGTACAGCAGCTCTGGGAATGTTGAATTGCCTTGGGATTGTCAGCACTGAGCACCTGAGGAAAGGTGGTGCTCAGTGCTGACTCTGCCAGAGCTTGTCAGGGGCGTCCAAGGCAAGTTTAGAGTTCCTGCTCTTCCTTGGCCACTGCTGATCCCCACACAGTAGCCCCAGGGGAAGGAGGAGGAGGAGAAGTAGAGCAGAGCCACAGCCCCGAGGGCTCTGCAGCTACAGCTAGAGCACAGGGACAGCCCAGGCTGGGAGCAGTGCCTTGGGACGACAAAATGGAGCAAACTTGGATCTGTGTTGGTCAATGCCCCTGTTCTCCTCTGGGAGCTGCAGACACTTACGGAGTAGTTGTAATTAGTGACGGGATTCCTGTGGTTTATCCATGCTCCTAAAGCATCCCTGTGCACAAACAGAGGGCTCCGCTGCCTCTCCCAGGGATTTTGGGATTCTGTGGCTAAGGCGGGAGTGGCTGGATGAGGTGGCCCACGGGAGCAGCAACTGGCCATGCAGGTGGAGCAAGAGTGCCAGGAATTCCGCAGGGTGCTCAGGTGAGGCCCACGGGGCAGGGACATGTTGGGGCGCCACTTGCCATTCCTGCTTCCCCCAGATTTTGGGACAGAGCAGTGACACCCATTGGGGTCCAAAACCCCTCAGGGCTCATGCGCAGCCTCACAGGAGGTCCCAGCCCAGGCCTTGGGGATGATTCAGGTGCTCCTGGGCTCGTTTCCAAGAAAGGGCAGTGCTCCAGGAGCGGTTGGCACATCCCAAAGGAGCAGCCAGGGGCTGCTGGAGCGCAAGTGCTGTGGGCAAGCAAGGCGTGAGGGAGCCGGGCCCCGCTCAGCCGGCGCTGCCCCAGGAACATCTCATCCAGCAGGAGCTCAGTAGCCTCTGCCAGTGCCGACCCCGGGGCTGTCGGGGGGGCGGCCATAGGGGCCAGGGGGTCAGGGGGTGGGAGGGGCCGGGATGGAGGGACCGGGACCCCACTGGGAAGCCCTGAGCATGGAGGTAGCGAAACGGCAGAGGGGAGACCCCGGAACAGGGGGGAGCAGAGACCCTGTGGTGGGGTCTGTGGAAAGGAGGGACTGCAATGGTGGTTCCGGAGCACTGGGAAGGGACCCAGCTGCCATCGTGCTGTGAGTGCCAGGACGGCCACAGAGTGTCCGAACTGACTGTGGCAGTGTGTCCGAAGCCACTGTCGCAATGTGTCGGGACCAAGCGTTGTCATGGTAAGGCCCCCACAGCTCCGGGAAGTGGAGAGGTATCCTGGAAGGGGTGGGGCAGGGGCACGGCAGAGCCCTGTCTATTCCCTGTGCCTTGTGCAGGTGAGGAGGGCAGGGATGGAGCAGCTTTGGTGACACCTGGAATCCAGACAGGGTCCCTGCCCACAGCCCCACCACAGCCGCCATTGGGTACAGCCCCTGCTCAACATTTTCGTCCCTTTCTTTCTTGTCTCACAACTGAGCTAGAACCCAAAAATACTTTCTGGGATGTTCTAAAGGGCTGCAGGTTTGAGACAGGAAGGAGGAGGAGGGTCCTGGTCAGATTGTTGAGCAGATTGTTGTTGTTTTTAAAGGATTTTTGGGTCTCTCCCAGTCCCTTGCCTAGAAGTACAAAGTGATCAGTTGCTGCATTTCTGGACTGGTTCCCCCACAGCTGCCCTTGTAGGGGCAGTTTCCAGCCAGCCCTGCTCTGGAAACCATCAGAGGCCCTCTCAGTGAAACTGCTTGGGCTCCCTTTGGATTTTGTGTTTCTTGCAGGGCTGAGCAAACCACAGGCAGGCCTTTTTCCCCCACTGAATTCTCATCTTTGCAGCATGTGAAAACCATGTTCTCTCTTCT